GAAAGAAAAAGAAAGCCAAACACTTGAGAACTTAAAAAGTGAGGACAAAAAGAGAGAAACACATAAGAGGAAAAAGAAGAGTGAAACACTTGAGGTGAAGGAAAGCTTTTTAGCTACAAAAAGTGAGGTTAAGAGGTTGTTTCTATCTAAACAGCCCCTATTTTTGTTAATTTGCAAAAACTATGTTTTGACCACTAACACTTTTGATAACCTTGATTTGCCTTCTAGTGTGAATTGTAGGAATTTGGAGATGTGTTTCCAACAAGTGTACCAAGTAGGTTGCCACCATTAAGAGTTATTGAGCATCAAATTGATCTCATTCCGGGAGCTTCTTTGCCTAATAGGCCAGCCTATAGAAGTAACCCTCAAGAGACCAAGGAGATCCAAAGACAAGTGAATGAACTCATTGGTAAGGGATGGGTAAGAGATAGCATGAGTCCTTGTGCTGTCCCGGTAATTTTGGTTCCTAAAAAGGATGGGACATGGCGCATGTGTTCCGATTGTAGAGCCCTTAATAACATCACCATTAAATATAGGCATCCTATACCTAGGCTTGATGATTTACTTGATGAATTGCATGGTGCATGTTACTTCTCTAAAATTGATTTAAAAAGTGGATACAATCAAATTAGGGTTAGAGAAGGGGATGAATGGAAAACCGTTTTTAAAACAAAATATGGTTTGTATGAATGGTTGGTTATGCCTTTTGGCTTAATTAATGCTCTTAGCACTTTCATGAGATTAATGAACCATGTTTTGAGAAAATTCATAGGAAAATTTGTTGTGGTGTACTTTGATGATATTCTTATCTATAGCACTTCACTTGAATTGCATGTTCATTATTTAAAATATGTCTTATGTGTGCTTAGAGAAGAACAATTGTATGCCAATCTTGAAAAATGCATCTTTTGTACTAACCATGTTATGTTTCTTGGTTTTGTTGTGAGTTCAAAAGGAGTACAAGTGGCGAGGAAAAGGTTAGGGCTATTCAAGAATGGCCTACACCTAAGTCCGTGACCGAAGTGAGTAGTTTCCATGGTTTAACAAGTTTCTATAGGAGATTTGTGAATGATTTTAGCACATTGGCAGCACCTCTCAATGAAGTGCTCAAGAAAAATGTTGGTTTCAAATGGGGAGAGAAACAAGAAGAAGCTTTCAATGCTCTTAAGCAAAAGCTAACTAATGCCCCTATACTTGCTTTGCCAAACTTTCAAAAATCTTTTGAAATTGAGTGTGATGCCTCAAATGTTGGGATTGGGGCTGTGTTGTTGCAAGAAGGCCATCCAATTGCTTATTTTAGTGAAAAGCTAAGTGGTCCTACCCTTAACTATTCAACTTATGATAAGGAGTTGTATGCCTTAGTGAGGGCTTTGAAAACATGGCAACACTACCTTTATCCGAAGGAATTTGTCATTCATAGTGACCATGAGTCCCTCAAATATATCAAGGGACAAGGCAAGCTTAACAAAAGGCATGCCAAATGGGTGGAATTTCTAGAGCAATTCCCTTATGTTATCAAACATAAAAAAGGAAAGGTAATATTGTAGCCGATGCTCTTTCTCGGCATCATGCTTTGCTTTCTATGCTTGAAACAAAATTGATTGGTCTTGAATGTTTGAAAAACATGTATGAAAGTGATGAAACTTTTGGTGAAATTTTTAAAAATTGCGAAAAAATTTTAGAAAATGGTTTTTTTAGACATAAAGGCTTTCTTTTCAAAGAAAACAAATTGTGTGTGCCTAAATGTTCTACAAGAAACTTGCTTGCTGGTGAAACACATGAAGGAGGTTTAATGGGGCATTTTGGAGTCCAAAAGACTCTAAAAACATTACAAGAGCATTTTTATTGGCTCATTTGAAAAAGAATGTGCAGAAATTTTGAGAACATTGCATTGTTTGTAAAAAGGCAAAGTCAAAGGTAAAGCCTCATAGATTGTATACTCCATTGCCAATTCCGGAGTATCCTTGGATTGATTTATCCATGGATTTTGTTTTGGGGCTGCCAAAAACAAGTAGTGACAAAGATTCAATTTTTGTGGTTGTTGATACGTTTTCTAAAATGGCTCATTTTATTCCATGTAAAAAGGTGGATGATGTTTCTCATGTGGCTAATTTGTTTTTTCAAGGAGATTGTGAGATTCCATGGTTTGCCAAGGAGCATTGTTAGTGATAGGAACTCTAAGTTCCTAAGCCATTTTTGGAGGATCTTGTGGGGCAAGTTGGGCACTAAATTGTTATTTTCAACCACTTGTCACCCACAAACGGATGGGCAAACAAAAGTTGTTAATAGGACATTGGGAACATTGCTTAGGACAATTTTAAGAAAGAACTTAAAGACTTGGGAGGTTTGTTTACCTCATGTTGAGTTTGCTTATAATAGGGCTGTTCATAGCACTACTAATTGTTCTCCTTTTGAGGTTATTTATGGTTTTAACCCACTAACTCCTCTTGATCTTTTGCCTATGCCTAATGTTTCAGTTTTTAAGCATAAAGAAGGTCAAGCAAAGGCAGACTATGTAAAGAAGCTTCATGAGAGAGTCAAAAATCAAATTGAGAGGAGAAATGAAAGCTATGCTAAACAAGCCAACAAAGGGAGAAAGAAGGTTATCTTCGAACCCGGAGATTAGGTTTGGGTGCACATGAGAAAGGAAAGGTTTCTGGAACAAAGGAAGTCAAAGCTTCAACCAAGGGGAGATGGTCCATTCCAAGTGCTTGAAAGAATCAATGACAATGCTTACAAAATTGAGCTGCCCGATGAGTACAATGTTAATTTCACCTTCAATGTGTCTGACTTATCTCTTTTTGATTTAGATGGAGAATCCGATTTGAGGACAAACCCTTCTCAAGGGGAAGAGAATGATGAGGACATGACCATGAGCAAGGGCAAGGATCCACTTGAAGGACTTGGAGGACCTATAACAAGGGCTAGAGCAAAGAGAGTAAAGGAAGCTCTCAACAAGTGCTATCCATATTAATTGAATACAAGCCCAAGTTTTAAGGAGAAAAGACCAAGGTTGTGAATTGCATCATGGCCCAAATGGAGGAGGACTAATGCGCCACTTTGCTTCAGTTTTTAAGTGTTTATTTTGTTTTAAATAATGGCCCAATCCTTTGTAAAGTTGGCTGACCAAATTATGTTTTGGGATTAATCAACTAGTGGGCTTTAGTTTGGTTTTATTTCAAGTTGTAATAAGGGCCCAATTGGCAGCTTAGGCATTAGCCTTTGGGAGACCAAGAGGCGCATACTTGGTGGCTTTTAGGTGACTTTTGGTTACCACAATTTCAGTTAAAATCAGTTATTAAGTAGTTTTCATTCCCTAGGTTAGTGGATCATTACTAGCTTAAGTGGAATTTATTTTCCTTTATTGAAAACCTTTGTAATTCTGATGGTAAAGCTTCTATATAAGCTAAACCATTTTTATCAATAAGGCAAGTTAAGTTTTATTTAGAAATACTAGAGTTTATCTCTTTTATCTTAGTGAGAGTGATTCTCCTAAGTTCTTGAGTGATTCAAGAATACCTTGGCTGTATCAAAGGGCTTTCACTTCCCTTTGTGTGTTGCCTTTCTTGGAAAGAGTGATTCTTTCCTTCCTCCATTCAATTCTTCACCAAAATTCCAGAAAACTCAAATCTGTCCAGAATTATCTCGTAATCATATCTTTCATTTTACTCATCCAAATTGAGTGATTCTTGAGCCTAAATTGAAGTTTAGAAGGAGAACTTTCACCTCGCTTTGGAGTCACCTCAATTGGAGTTCTATAACTCAAGATATAGTTGTTTCTAAAATTCTGTTCAACCACCACCAAACCAGCATTTTTGCTTCCTTTTTCATTCATTTTAACACCAAGATCCAACACCTAATTTGCCCAGAAATTCATCACTAAATTTTCTAATTTTCCTATAAGGTTCTAACCCTAAAGATCTTAAGTCAGCCCTTGTGCAAATGGGGTTCATATCAGAAAATCTCCATGAGAACTCCAAAAAACGAAGAAAGTGACGAAGGAACGAAACCCTAGCCCATAAAACATACCTCTTAACGATCCAAACGTGATTCCAACCTTCAATATTACACCCAAACGACTTTGGAGGCAATTTAAACAGTGAAATAGGGTTGAGAGTTGAGAAAATCAAAGAGATTTCGAAAAGAGGAATAGGAAATGAATTTTCCAAACCCTAAACCCCTCAAATACCCCTTTGGTCGCAATGTTCTTACTACAGCAAAAATATCAGAGGAAATTGCACTTTAGTTTTTGCAAAATCTTGCTATAGTGAGGCCCTCTTACTACAACGAGACTACAACCCAGAAATGTGCCCTCTTCTATTGCCTTCTTGCTGCAACTCACTCTAGTGAGAACGCAATAGAATCACGCTTCTCACCTAAGGCCTTCTTGCTACAGCGGGAGTACCCCTAAGATTGAATTGAATAAAAAATTCAATTAATCATTTGATATTGATATAATTGCAATGCTTAGTGTGCGACTCGTTAGTTTTTTTAGAATACTTAAAATTCAACAAAAAAAAAAAAAACCAACTCATAATATGAATTAATTAAAAAGAACTAATAACCAACTCATTGCTTCGGATTATCTAGATTTAAAGAAATAGTCAAAACAAAAAAATTAAATAAAGATATGATATATTAGTGATATAATTATAGCAACTCAAATATTGCAGAAAAAACAAAAAAAATGAATATGATTATGAGTTACATACACTTAGCCTATTTTATCAATCAATCCAAGCCAACTACAGTCGAACATTCTCAGTACAGAATCAACATTTACACTTATACGGATATTCATGTATTCATACACATCCATGTCATCATATATGTTCACATCATCATATACATCAAATACACATTCAAATAGAATTCCACAATTTATATTAATATATAAAATATCCTTACAAAATTTGAGGCGTTACAACTCTCTCTTTCTTTAGGGAATTTCGTCCTCGAAATTCAACTAAACTATACAAACAATTCCAGATACAACTCCCTCATTCTACTCTCCATTTCCCTATGGCATCTTCCTCATCACTTGAGCTCCAAATTACCTTCACCAATGAGATTTCCTTGCCCCTTAAATGCTTAACACGGTAGTCTGCAATCCTCACCAAGTATGCATCATAAGACAAATCCTCTCTTACTTGAACCAGGTCAAGGCCGATCACGTGAGAAGGATTCGACACATACTTCCTGAGTTGTGACATATAAAACACTGGATGTAGATTTGAGAGATTCGGAGGTAGTGCTATTTGGTACGCTGCAGGACCAATTCTACTCAGCATTTCAAACAACCCAATGAACTTAGCAGATAGCTTCCGAGATTTTAGAGCTCTCCCAACTTTGGTCATAGATGAGACCTTCAAGAACACATGGTCACCAACCTGGAACTCTAAAGACTTCCTCCTCTTATCATAGTAGCTCTTCTGCCGATCTTGTGCAGCCTTTATCTGCTTCATAATCATCTTGATCTATTTGTTTTGTTGTGCATATAGAGTCGCCTCTCCAGTCTCATACCAACACAGAAGAGTTCTGCACTTCCACCCATACAAAGCCTCGAATGGTGCCATCCCAATACTGGTGTGATAGTTATTATTGTACGTGAACTCCACCAACGGTAAGCACTCTTCCCAATTTCCCTACTGCTCAATCACACAAGCTTTCAACAAGTCTTCTAGGGATTGGATAGTTCTCTCTGTTTGACCATCGGTCTGTGGATGATAAGCCAAACTAAGTCTTAACTTAGTACTCAATGCCCTCTGCAGGATCTCCAAAAACCTCGAGGTAAACCTAAGATCTCTGTCGAATACCACACTAGTTGGCACTCCATGCAGTCAGACTATTTCCCTCACATATATGTTTGCCGATCTCTTTGACTTATACTTCATGTTGATCGGGAGAAAATGTGCAGCCTTAGTCAACTGGTCCACAATCATCCAAATGACATCATGGTTGTTCCTGGTTCTTGGCAACCCATAAACAAAATCCATGGAAATGCTATCCCACTTCCACTCAGGGAGCTCCAATGGTTGCAATAACTCAGGTGGACGTTGGTGCTCTACTTTTGCCTTCTAAGAAGTTAGGCATCTAGCCACATATTTTGCAACATCCCTCTTCATCCCATTCCACCAAAAGGTCTTTCGGAGGTTCTAGTACATCTTGGTTGCACCGGAGTGAAAACTCATTCTACTCTTATGCGCTTCCTCAAGTATCATCTGTCTCAACTCGTCCCCTTGGGGAACGTACACTTGGTTCTAAAACTTGATCACCCAATTCTCATAATAGTGGAACTCTAAGTCCTTTCCCTCACCCTTCTGTCTCATCATGTCTTGGAGGAAAACATCTCTTTGCTGCGCATCTCGGACATACACCAAGAAGTTGTTATGAATTGTTGTCATTCCGAAATGCAAACTCCTTGGCCTTACCTTCATAACCAAGTTAATGTCTTGAAACTCCTCAATTAGCTTCATCTCTTTCACCATCATTGCTGTCACGTGAGAAAATTTTGACCCAACCCATCGAAAATGAACCGACCGAATATTGGATGCCATTTCCTATGCCCTGTAATTCATAAGTCCATAACACTGGCACATACAAAAAAAAAGGCATAGGAAAGATGTCTTTTTTCTCTCTCAATATTAGAACCTATCTTTTCTACTTATAACTTTCTAATAAGTTCTCTCAATATTAGAACCAGTGTAAGACGATCTTGTTCCATATATATATATATATATTTAACTCAATTAATAACTAAATAACTTATTTAATTTTTTAGTTGTTACATTTAATACTCTTTCACAAGTTGGAGAGTATATATTGATTACTTTTAATTTGGATAAAAGATAATTAAAAATAAAAAGATTTATAAGCAATCATAATATTTATATGTTGATTTTGACTAGCAACAGAGAATAAATGAAAAAGTTTTACTTAGAGCTTTCTAAGAAGAATATAACAATCAATATCAATATCTTTGGTTCTCTCGTAAAAAACATTTGTTGCAATGTTTAACTGATTAGTGACATTTTTGGTAACACTTGACAAGTGAACCAACTTTCGGTTTAGTAAATTGATATTGTCCTCAGGGATTTGGTAATAATAGTGATTTCCTTTCTTGTTTATATACATAAATGAAAAGCATGTTTGAAATAGTGATTTGCAGAAATAAACGAAAGCAAAATAAAGTAAAATTTCGTAGAAAATCTTATGCAAGAAAGAGATTAGATTCAAATGCACTTGCTAACACTTTATCTTTAATGAGTAAATATGATTTCAACTATCTTACTTCCACATTCATTGAGTAACTTAACTAGATCCCTCAAAATTAAGTCTTTAAGGTAGTTAATCCTAAAACATGATTCATTTATGAGTAAGAATAACACCTTATATTAAGAACAATAACTTGACTATAAGTCACAAACCTAAGTCTATTCCTAGTATGAGAGTTTGTTAGGTGTGATGATTCAGTTCAAATTAAGAAAATATTTCTCAACAAAATTCCAAACCCTAGTTCATAAAATAGGTGATCAAGCCAAAATAAGCATTAAGATTAGAATCACAGACAAGTAAGGTAACTAAATATCATATAAACTCAAGAAGAAATAGAGTTAGTAGTTACATTGAATCCAATCCAAGAGAAATCAGCCACTTATGGTGAGGGTCATAGCAAGATACAAAATGAAATTACAAGAAGAGGAAGAAATGGAGAAGGGTCATTGTTCCCAAGCAATTTGTTCCCCATGTCTTCCTTGTGCTCCGCTTTCTCTTGGGTCTCTCTTTCTTTCCATATATGTATGTCTCTTAAGTCTCCCTCAAAATCCCCTTTTATACGTGTCTTCAAAATAAGAGAAATTTATAATTTTTAATTCCACCATTATAGCTACAGATTCACGGCTACCGTTGTTGAGATACGAATTGTCTTTCATTTTGTTGCATAATTTCATGGCTGCAGCTGTGGATTTGGGGCTGTAACCCTGGACTTCAGATTTCATCAAATTCTACACAAAAAGAGATATATTTTAAACCAAAATACTACCACTTTGGTGACTTTTTGAATTAGATTAATTTACCTACTTAGGAGATTAATATGCCTAGAATTATTTACATTTTAACCCAAAAAGAGTGTCAAATGAATGATAAAACATGAATTTCTAGCACTTAACACTCATTCATTTATTAATATCAATATGTTTGGTTCTCTTGTAGAAAACAACATTTGTTGCAATGTCTAATTGATTCACTATCATAATAAGGTAATAAAGGTAAAAAAAAAAAAGACTAATAAATCCTTTAGTAAGTAAGTGAGTCATTAAAGCTCATAAATTGTGTTGGCTAAGACTAGATATTCAACCTTTGAAGTAAAGATCTCTAGATGGTAGTTTGTTTCTGAGACTTCCATGAAATAATTAAGTCGCCTTAGTAGATGCAATATCTAGTGATGAATTTTTGAGTGTCAATGCAAGATGCCCAATTAGCGTCACTAAAAGCCTTAGTTGCAAAGGAGATGTAGCAAGGTAAAAAATTCTTTGACCAGAAGAGCCTTTCAAATATTGTAGAACATGAGCAACAACATTGAAATGAGTGTTGGTAGGACATAACATGAATTGACTCAATTGTTGAACAACAAAACTAATATATGGTCGAGTAGTAGTTAGATAGAATAATTTTTCAACTAATCTTTTATACCTAGCTGCATCTGCATAAGGATCACCATCTTATTGATGTAATTTGGTTCTCTTAACCATTAAGGTGACAACTAGTTTTGCTTTAAGACAACCAAAGTCAGATAATAAGTCTAAAGTGTATTTTCTTTGAGAAATTGTGATCCCAGCCTTAGATCAACAACCTCCAAATCAAAGAAGTACTTTAAATGAATCAATTCTTTAATCTTGCATTGATTATCAATATTTTTTTTAATATAATTAATTTCTAAATTGTTAGTTTTACAATGATAAGGTCATCAACATAAACCAATAGAGTATATCATAATCCATTATGATGTTTTGTAAAAAAAAAAGTGATCATTTATAGATTGTTCATAATCAAGTGATTTTAAAAAGTGAACAATTTGGCAAACCATTGTGAAAAGCCTATTTGAGGTCGTACAGAGATTTATAAAGCTTACAAACCATATTAGGATCGTCACACTCAACATCATTTGGAATTTTCATATTAACTTCCTCAGTCAAGTCTCTATGAAGAAATGCATGGTCAATGTACAATTAATTGAGATACCAGTTTTGAGAAGTTGTTATAGCAAGCAAAAGTATAATAGTGGTCAACTTAGGTATTGGTGCAAAAGTATCAAAATATCAAGACCTTCAATTTGGCTATAACCTTTGGCTACTAATTTGGTTTGTAGCTTTCTATTGTTCCGTCGGATCCGTTTGATCTTCTATACCCATTTATAACTAATTGGAACCTTACTAGGAGGCAATGTTGTAATAGTCTAAGTGTTATTTTGTCTTAGAGCATGAAACTCATCTTGCATAGTCTTGATCCAGTGTTCGGACTTGAAAGCTTTATGATAGCTTTGTGGTTCTGAATGGGTAGTAATAAATAATGCAAAATGATAGTGTTGTGAAGAAAGCTTATTATAAGAAAGAATGTATTGGATAGGATGCTTGACATTTTCACTAACTTTAGGTACAATACTTAGTTAACAAATTACAATGATAATCCTTTAAGTAACTAGGTGTTACTTTAGGCCTACTAGATTGTTTAGGCTGAGGAGTTGTATTTTCTATGAGTTTAGAGTTATTATCAATATTTAAAGTATTAGTGGAATTATTAGTGAGTTTAGGATTAATTTGTGTATTATCATATGATAAAGCAACATCATGGATTAAAAATTGTGAGAAGTCAATATTTTGTTGACTACATACCAAGTCATCCTTACACACAGGAAAAGGCAAACAATGTTCATAAAAATAACATTTCTAAAAAAAATTCCTTCTCCGATTTTTAAATCAAGTAAAATATACCTTTTTATTCCTTATTTAAAATTGATAAATGCATATCTCCTAACTCTAGGTTCTAATTTTATTCAGTTATGTGACAAAGTGCTTGCTAGCATAAACTTTCAAAAACTCTCAAGTTATTATAGGTAGAAGGCAAGCCAAATTGTTTTTCAAAAAGTGATTTTCGTACTAACACTTGAGATGGTAGTCTATTAATAAGATGAACGGAATGAGATACAACATACCGAAAAGACATGGGAAGCTTGTTCGGTGGGCAAGTGTACTTGTCAAGAAGTAATAAAGGATCCTTAAATTAAGTTCCTGAATTATCGTTTCACAAGGATTGTTTTCCAACTACTAAGAATTTTCTAATTCATTTGTTTGAGGTTCAAAGATATGAGATTAAAACAAGAATTCATAAGATCAATTATAAAACTAAGAACAAGAAATACAATACACATCTTGGTTAAACCTATCGAAGAGGAACCTACGGCATATGAGTTTCT